CCTAGACTTTCCCTGCTTCCAAATTTTACTAAAATCTCGAAACGTCTAAGTTAGGCTAAAAGGCTAAGTTAAATTTGTTTTATTTTAAGAATTACTTAATTTTCCTTTTAAACTACAATAAGACTTAATAATTCATACGTTTGTACAAAAATAATAATTGCGTTACTTCAAATAAATTTATAAGCCCTCATTTGTTTTAAGTATAATTTTCTGACTTGTAATAAAAACGAGGCGAGGTCTATCTTGATGTGCTCTAAAGAAGCATGTTTACACTGTTTTATGATAATAATTTGATACGGTTCGCGTGCGATCATCACATTAGCTTTGAAATCTGATATTAAACATTATTTAGTAGACAATGACACGCAAAAGTGCGTATTAAAAAAGCAAATGACCACAGAATAATACTGAGAATAGTTGGAACTGGAAACTTTAGGGTTCCGTACATCCAGAGGGCAGGATGGCCTCCGGTTTTCCACAGGGGTCTGTTTTAGGGCCCCTGCTATGGAACAGCTGTTTCGACTGGGTCATCCACGGAAAGGTGCTGCCCCGGATGGCGGTCATCTGCTATACAGATGACGCGATGATAACCATCCGGGACAACACCTGGAGATGGCTGAGGACGGGACTGAGGTCACAGCCACTTTAGTGATCCGGAGAATTGAAGGGCTGGGCCTCCGAGTGGCGCTCAACAAAACCGAGGCCAAGGTGGCGGGTGCCGTCGGGCTCCACTCTGCGGGTCATCGGGGGCGAGGTTAGGGTCAGGAATAGGAAGTGGAGGATCATGGAGCTCTCGGTGGATGGCCTAGCGGGCGCCGAAGACAGCGAGCGCACAATATGGCCATCCGCCCACAGCTCCCGGAGTGGTGCGGTAGGGCCCACAGGTCCCTCAACTTCCGACTCACGCAGGTGCTGTCCTGACATGGGTGTTTCGGGCAGTACCTGCGTCGGATCGGAAGGTGCGTACTACGGGTGCGGCGACGTAGCGGACACAGCACAGTACCCATTATTGGTGTAACTGCGTGGTCTGATGCGCGCCGCAACCTGATGGTAGCAATAGGCGGCGACCTCACACTTCCTGGGGTTATATGCGCCATGCTGGAAATGTGAAGCCGTTGCCTAATTCTGAAAGTGGTTATTTCACAGAAAGAAGCGCAGGAGTGGGAGCGCAAGGGAGATCCCCAGGCGCCCCGGCTCCGGCGTAGACGAATGGGGAGGCGAAGCCGACAAAATATCACCGACCTCGCCCCCTTTTTTTCAGAGGGAAATGCTTTATGCATAGTCCGCGCCCCGAGGGGACGCGGTATTGATGTAGGAAGCATACCTACTAAACCCGTCTGTTCCTCCTACGCATAGTGGCGAGGCCACAGGCACGCTAGCGCTTTTGTCCGCAACCTCGCTTACCGCCCTCGACCCCTTACAACAGCCCTAGGGTGTCAGATACGGGAGATCTGTCACCTAAGACTGGAGTTAGGCCTCCCCCAAAGTGAGAGCTGCCTCAACAGCTGACACAGGCGAGGTCGTAGACGAAAGTGCAAGCGTGCCCGTGGCCTCGCCCTCTTGCGTAGGAGAAACAGAGGAGTTTAGTTTAGAGCAGAGTTTTTAGTTTAAAAAAATTTAGGCGTAGGAGAGGAGATTCACCCAGCTATAGATGGAATTTTTGTAAGGTCTTTAAGGAAATGGTATACTCCCTTCTTGAAGGACCCTAGGTCGTATTGGTTTGGAAATACCACCGAGGATAGACCATTCCACAACACGGATGTGCGAGGCAAGAAATTGCCCGAGAATTGCATCATTGTGGAATGCCAGCCATCCAGGTGGTGGGAATGGTACCTAGCGGTCTGTCTTATCGTCCGATGACAGAACTCGGTGGCAGAAATCATTCCAAACAGTTTTTCGGAACATAATTACTCTCAGTAGGATGTAATGATGATGGATGGATGAGATGGTTAAAAATCTTCGGGTGCTAAAGTCCGGGATTGGGTAGGGATAGGGATGAGGAAAAGTGGAGACTTCTGTCGAAGGCCAAGGCCGATTTTGGGTCATTGCGTTAACCTAATGAGTAAGTTAAGTTCACCAAAACCAGTAATATTTTGAATGGAACCTACGAGATAAAAAGGTTTGGGATTTCTGATTTATACTAATAATTACGATTTTATACAATCAAGTATAGAAAAACAACAACTATTATTAGATTAACTATTGACTTATACAAACTACAGAAATAAAATTAACTATAATCAAGTGTAACATGCCTCTTTTATAAGGCAGGTCACCGAAAGCGAACGATAATTACACACCCACGACACTAATAACCATCACGACATACCCTTGTATTGAAATAACACAACTTTGCTGAACAAAACTAATTTATTTAATACCACACTGAAAAAAACAAAATAGGCTTAGAATTGTTTTCAATTTTTATTTATCTCCATTGAAAACTTTTGTAGCGTAAAGGACTTGATAATTTTTTTTTAATAAATTATTACAAGTTTTAACATTAATTAATTTTTATTTACAAACTAGCGGTCGCTCACGTATAAAACAAAAACATAATTGTTCCTATCTGTTGCCATATGTATGCCAAATATCATCGAGATCCGTTCAGCCGTTTCGCAGATACCTTCGCACAAACATCCATCCATCTAAACATTCGCATTTATATTATAATATTAGTAAGATTATTTAAATACTTTAAAAGACCTCAATTTATAATAAAAAAGAAAATTAATCTACTTTATGTTAACCTTATTGAGATCGTAAGAGCCTTTCGAAGCTTTTAAGAGAAAAGATTGCTTTCATTTTCATACGATTTAAGTTACAAGATTTTTACTATAAGTTAAGTCTATAAATAACATTATATGTTTATTAAAAAACAAGCTAAAGACTAACTGGCTGTTAAATGACACTGAAGAGAATTAAAAAAATTTGAAGGACAATTCACTCCACAAAAGTTAAGTCATCGAATCAATTGACCGTGGGTTCCTGACATTAAAATCTCTGTATAAAACATATCTTGTCATTATTATACCTTAATTTTGAGCTCAGAAGTCCACGGTCAGTCGTTTAGTCTATAAGAAGTCACAATAGATCTTCTCCCCATAATTTAAATATTAAACAATAATTCGGCATAAAGCTGAAAATTGGTAAAAATGTTTGGAACACTAAAAAGACATCATCAATCGCAAATACGGAAAAAATTAAAATCAATAAATTAATATACTTCAATATTACATCTTTTGGAAGTTTAGAAATCGCCTAGATAACGAAATACTAAAAACAAAATAAAATATCTATTCCTCCAGAAAATTGCTATAAATAAAATTTAAGAAAAAGGGATTTTCTTAACCTCTGCCTACACGCGTTTATAAAAAATTTGCAATTTAATGAAAATTTTTCCTCTAAAGATAAAATATGAAGCATAATATTCCGATCGAAGCTTTTAAACAACCGCTTGTAAAATACAGTATTGACAGAGGTTGTTCTCAAAACTTTCGAGAGCTTTTTGTCTTTTGATATCACTCGAGATTTGGTAACGATTCGGATAAAGCTGTATCCGCGCTTAAACAACACGTATTGCAGTACTTTGGTACTAGTAATAAATCGTTTCACATTACCTCACTTCACCTCACCTCAATAATATCCTTAGTGTACCCTTATGATAATTCAAGGAAGAATATGAATCGAACCACAAACTACATTTTAAATTCGCTCAAGTGGGTATCAGTTCATGATGAAATATTTGTATTAATCAGTACCATATAGATAAAAAAATGCATTAACTAGTTGTCACCCACGACGCCGTATGAGCGGAATAAAAAAAACTTAATTAGTAGCCTATGTATGCTTCAAGACTTTGTCTTATATCTATATCAAATTTCAGCAAGATGTATGCAGCCGTTTTGGAGATACCTTCAAACAAACATCCATCGATATATTCAAATATTCGCATTTATAATATTAGTAAGATAGTAAGATATCATAAAGATTGGAATTTGGATATAATATTTTTCTACCAACAAAAACTCATTTCGCGATGACTAAATGTTTTCACATAACAATGTTTGAACAAGATTGAGACGTGTAGAAATTGAGCAAATAGAATCAACTCCATATTTCCGTTCAGCTATAATCAGAATAGTGATTTGTAGAGTTTTTTTTTTTATTTAGTATGAAACGATTTAATCTGTTATTTCTAAATAAATTTGTGGCAAAAAATTCATCGAATCGGATTTCTATTTTAAATAGGTTGTTCATTTTAATTTGGGACTTTTACGTCGAAAGACATCATTAGAATTACTAAAAATATAATTCAAATTTCATGTTCGTGGAAAACATTGAGATTAAAATGATTAAATATCCTAAAGAATTAAACCCTTTTTATTTTTTTAAATGAATTAAAATATTTTCGGGTAAAATAGATAAGTACTTTTAGACATTATTAGTCAGAATCCTTTGGCGCGAATCGCGCGCTTTCGTTACCAAGTCAAGTGTCAGATTGATTAGTGAGGGGACATAAATGTTGATATTTTAATAAGGCTAGTGTTGCGATACACCGACACAGTGTCGTATTTTATTCCTAACAGTACATATTTTTATACATCCTGTTTAAAATTTGGTAGGTAAAAAACACAAGATGTCAAGGCAAAGTAGCTTTCAAAGTATATGTCATATATTTTTAGAGTATTGTCTACAATATATATCCATATCCAAAGATCCAAAGAATGTCTGTTACGGGCATACACATTTTCCCCGGCTATTACGCACACAAACACATTTCGAGGTGATGGGTGAACACATTCGTAATCTCCAGTCGTAAGGATAGCGCAGAATCGTCTGAAATCACTGACACAAGCATCTGAAATCACTCACACACTAAGAAATATTCATCTGTACATAAACACAGACAGGGTTGTTGCACGCACACAAACAAAAATTCATCCCTGGCAATGCTGTGTACGTTAGTCGCTCATGGACATTCGTGGAGTAAGGACGTAGTTGTTGCGTACATTTCGAAAGTATCGCGATATTAGTGAAACGGAGTGATTTTTTTTAATATTTCAACATGTGTTAACTTTCAGTGAGACGGTTTAAATAAATGTGAAAATGATTTTTTTTTTATTTAAATAATTGAGAAGTGCAAAGTGAAAGTGTTTGTTAAAACTCATTGAACGAGTGGATTTTAAACTCTTGTGTGAAAATTGAACAGTGAATTTTTCGTCAGGTAAGTTTAAAACCGTTTCTATTATTTATTTAAATAAAAACAAAAACATTTAAAATTATAATAAAATATTAAACCTAATTAAACGTAACATTTTTTTTAAATAAATGAAGTGCGTAAGTAGTGAATGAAAAATTGACTTTTATAACATTTTTTTTTCTTTTTTTTTAAGACAAATAATTACATGATTTTTTTTATATGGGGTCGTAAATTCTAAGCTCTTGAGGTTTTAGCACTTATTTGACAAATATAGTAAACGTAACCATACGTTTAATGTTATATTTTTTAAATATGTTTCTTCATGTATCCGTTGATTTCCAACTACTAGGATTCCATTTGTTATATTTGATTTACATGTGTTGATATATACGGTGTTATATTTCTAGAGATGATAAAAGGCTGACAACGCCTCTGATTACTCGGATGTTTACCGCACTATGTTATATACTGCGCAGATGACGAGTTCTGGTGTAGACAGGTGGGATGGGACTGAACTAGGCCATTGAAACATTGGCATTATTAGAAAACTTTTAATATTTTTACGATTGAAATTTAAACATCAAAGACAAATTGTACATTTTAGAGACTGCCTAATTACTAGCTATCGTCTGCGACTCCGTCTGCGCGGTATTAAAAAAACCTTAATAAGTAGTCTATGTGTTCTTCCAGACTATGTCCTACATGTATGCCAAATTTCAGCAAAGTCAGTTGAGTCGTTCCGGAGATACCTTCTTACAAACATCCATTCATTCATCTAAAAATTCGCATTTATTATTTTAGTAAGTAAGATTATTTTCAAATTAAGTTTCATGTTTTGTTTATATTCTACCTTTTTTACGGTATTATAAAATTTCTCTTAACATTTTCATTTCCTTGGCTGAATTTTAAGAGGAGGAAAAGAAATGTGTTTCGCGAATGTGGCTTTATAACCATTTTAGTACCAATGTAACCGCATGTAGACTAAACAGCAGAATCGATATCGACAATGAATTAGTTATTATTCGATTAAAATCGATATTCGCGTGTTATTCAGTTTTTATTTATTATGCGAATGTTAACATGTATGTATGGGTGTGTTATAAACTATCTCCAGAACAGTTAAATGGTTCCTGATGAAATTTGTCATATAAGTAGAATATAGTCTGTAAGAACGTATAAGCTACTAATTATGTTCTTAATAAAATCCGCGCAGAAGGAAAAGTTTCTTTATTTTAAAAAAAGGGTCTTGATAGACGGACGGAGGATATTTTAATATAACAAAATGATCCTATAAGGTTTCCGTTTTTTTCCTATGAGGTACGGAACCCTAAAAAGATGGAGCAATTTTACTTCTTACAATATTATTTAATAAATCAATGTATTAATATTATAAATGCGAATGTTTAGATGGATACATGTGTATTTGAAGGTATCTTCAGAACGGCTGTATGGGTCTTGCCGAATTTTGGCATGAATGTAAAACATAACCTGGAAGGAAACATAGGCTACTAATTAAGTTTTTTTTAATTCCGCACGGACGGAATCGCAGGCGACAGTATCTTATAAAAATACGGCCTATAATTATTGCCGTATGAGTACACATATATATGTTAATTTACATGAATAATTTTGATTCAAGATAACGTATTGGGGTAAATCCGGCAACAGAATTGTGATCTAATTAAGTTTGAGAGAACTAAATTACTGGATAATTGTGATTATGAGAATTGACAGTAATTGCTTTTCAAATAACAAGAAGAACATTACTAGCTGTCGTCAGCGACTCCATCTGCGTAATTAAAAACGTAGCCTGTGTTCTTTCAGATTATGTTCTACATCTATGCCAAATATCAGCAGAGGTTCTGGAGATACCTTCTAATAAACATCCATCCAAACATTAGCATTTATATATTATTCTAGCGGTCGGCCGCGACTTCGTCAGATTATGTTTTATATCTACGCCAAATTCCAGCGAGATGCATCCATCCAAACATTCGCATTTATAATATTATTATGATTGTGGGGTGGGGCCTTTCTTTTACATGACCGAATCACCGTGTTAGATATACACAGTATTTTGACTACACTATTTTAATTTTATTATTCAGTTTCAAGCAAATCCTGTAGATATGACTATGTATTAGGTTCGTAAAGAAGAGACGTTGTTAAATTGATCGCATGTTATCGGTTGAAGAGTCAGCTTTGTTAAGAAATGCGCATACTTGTTACTTTCCAGATGACGTCACTTGACAAGGTGACGTACCTCGTTACCGTTGAAAGAAAGTCAAGCGTAAACTCGATTATGACAATTACTTCCTTTTTGTTTTATTCACAATAAGTAACTATATAATTATAGACTTAATGTTGGTTTCTGAGACGAAAATCTCTATATAAAACATCTCGTCATATGTTTAAACGGGGATTTTGGTTTTAGAAACCCACGATTAGGGACTGTTTCAAAATAGTTTTATACAATTAATGAATAAGTAGAACATAGCCTGGAAGAACATATAAGCTACTAAGTTATTTTCACTCAGATAGAATCGCGGGTTATTGCTGATAAGTTACAAATAATAACGAAAATTTAAGACCTCAAATGTAGCAGTTTAAAATGAACATACCGTAGCACACAATTTATATATTTTTATGAATATTTAGGAAATTATCAGTCTTGTAATTATGACAAATTATAGCAGTCTCCCAAAATAATCATCATCATCAACCTGCCCTTATCCCTATCGAGCGTCGGCACAGTATGTACTACTGTATATACATCTCTATCAGTCGTAATATCCGAGTCTACCCCCTTCTTACGCATATCCGGGGTCCATGTCATATGTCTCGCAAAATAACGATTGACATATCTTTTAAATTATTTGTTTAATTTCATTACAGTTTTATTAAAATAGGGTATCGATGTCCGTCAGATCCCTTCATTCGATTACGATATACGGACGTATTTGTTCCATTTACACTAAATAAGCTCATGTCACGTGACAAAACCTTAATTCTATTAATGTTATACAGAATAATATAATATATATTTTGCTTTTAGGATATATTGAATTACTCTTTTATTTATTTACAAAACATTCACCATAGTCGTTGATAAACTTACTAATATTATAAATGCGATTGTTTAGATGGATGTTTGTTTGTTTGAAGTTATCTTCGGAACGGCTGAACGGATCTCGTTGAAATTTGGCATACATATAGAACATAGTCTGCTTATTAAGTACCACCATAACAAATATATAACGCTAGCGGACGGAGGGCGACCACTAGTTTTATATCTTTGTTATTTTTTTTTTGCTGTTATTAATAAAACTAAATTATAATTATGAAACAAGTAAATTTTCATCCGCGACTCTGTCCGCGCGGTATTAATACACTTATTGAGTACTCTATGTTTTCTTATAGACTATGTTCTATATGTATGCCAAATTTCATCCAGATCCCTTAAGCCGTTATAGAGATACCTTCAAACAAACATCCATCAATCCATCCATCTCTGTAAATATAAACGTTTATAATATTAGTATGAGTTAGATGTATCTAATAAAAAAAAACTAAACCCATATTGAGTTTAATTACAATTAGAAATAAAAATAATCGTATGGGAAGTGAACTTGTAGCACATAAGATCAAATCAGACGACCGCTAATGAGACATTAAATCTTAATTGGCTTGATCTGACTGAACCATGTCTTGAATTAATTAAAATGTCATGGTTTTAAACTATAATACATCTTCTATTTATAGTTCCATTTCTTTACTATGATCCCATGTATATTGAGAGCTTCGGTGGCTCAGGGGTTAAAACACTTGACTTGTAACCTAAAAGTCCTGGGTTCGAATCCCGCCATGTACCAATGTGTTTTTTGATTTTCGATTTACATATGTACATATATACGACGTTCTTACGGTGAAGAAAAACATGATGCAACCTGCACATATCTGGGAAGATATTCAAAGATATGTGTGAAATCAACCAACCTGCATTGGGCCAGCGTGGTTGACTATGGCCTAGTCACTTCTAACTTAGGGTAGGCTCCGAGCTCCTCAGTGAGGATGTACAGTGAGCTGATGATGGTGATCTAAACAATGAGACTATTCCAATATGAACACAAAGGTTCATAACTACGGTAACAGAATAACGAATATAAAAAAACATATTAATAATCGATTTAAAAAAAAGAAAAAAAAAGAAAAAAGAAAGAAAGATTGAAATATACGCATATTTTTATGAAGATCCTTTGATGTAACGTATGATCGATTATTAAAAACAAACACGTTTACACTCTCTTGGTAAGCGTGAAACGTCGATGTTTCTATAAACCCTTGTCCATTCATTCGTCATTCAGTCCTAAAAGGGTACTTACAATTTACGGTGTGTACGATTCCAATTAATTTTGCATAATGTTTCGTGAATTCGCAAACATGAGTAAACAGGTTTGAATACAAATGAATTATCAAATGTTAACAACATCAAAGGATTTAAAATTGTAATCAGTTGACATTTGATAAATGTATTAAAATTAAAAATTAACGACAGACCGCCAGGTTCCATCCACACCACCTGGATGGCTGGCGTTCCACAACGGTGCGATTCTCGCGCAATTTCTTGCCTCGCACAGTCGCGTTGTGGAACGGTCTGTCCTCGGCGGTATATCCAAACCAATACGACTTAGGGACCTTTAAGAAGCGAGCATTTTCTTAAAGGCCGGCAACGCATCTGCAGTTCCTCTGGTGTTGCAGATGTTCATGGGTGTCGTTGATCACCTCGGTGTTACCGCCGCTGGTTTGCCCCCTTCTCTTATAAAAAAAATCAATGGTATTTTTTTTAAATTTAAGATCAAAGGGTGTTTTAAGATACGTACTGTTATTAAAAAATAAATTATTATACTACTTCCAAAGTTAAATAAAATCGTTTAATAAACAAGTAAGTTGTATAAAATATAACCATTTCTTTAGTATCGCATAATTTAAAACTAATTTTATTTAAAATAAATATATATTTTAAA